CTGCTCGCAGAAAGAGAGGATGGTGACCGGGATCAGGCTGGCCTGGCGCGGGGACAGCCTCGCAGGGGTGCCTCATCCTGCCCACTGGCCATCAGAAAGGTTAGGATGGGTCTGAGGCGCAGCCTGAAAAGCCTCGGGGGCCACAGGATGTGGAAGAGCCAACGTCTCTACTGGCCTCCTGCCGCGAGACCTGCACGGAGCCACTTGTGACTCCCGTGCCTCAGTCTCACCCAGCTCGCGGAGCTGCCGGCCGAGCTCCCGGGAGCATCGCGCCTCCCACCAGGAGCCCGCGGCTCATCCCGCTCAGCTCCATCCCCTGCCGGGGCACAAGGGGCTCTTGTTTGATCCTTGGCATCTGCCGATCGCTTCCCATCCTGCAATTAGGCCCCGGGCAGGAGGTGTCGCCGCCGCCAAGATCCACAAACCGGTCGGAGCTGCCGCGGGCGGCACCGGGGGCCGGGGCAGAGCCCACACACCAGCCCAGGCTGGGGTTCACACGACAGCCCCTCTCGCACAGCAGAGCCCACCCGGGCGAGGGGCGCCGGGGCCGCAGGGGCTGCGAAGGGCAGTGGCCCCCAAACCGCCCCGTCCGTCCCGCTCGTGGCTTGTGGGAGGAAAAAGCTGCCAGGGGAGGAGTCAGCACAGCCTGAGCCCCGCACGCGTCTCGGCCGTGCTTGGCAGGAGCGTGTGGAGCGTGGGAGACGCGAGGGAGCCCTGTGGGGACGCGAGGCGGGAGCAGAGCGAGGGCGATGTGATCCTGGTGCGGGCGGCCCAGGCCTGGGAAACGGCAGAAACATGCATAGGGAAAGCGGCAGCTGGGATGGGAAGCAGCCGCTTCCCAACCCACCCGCGCAGCTGCTCCTGAGATTTTTGCTTCTTGGTTTTCCGGTTGCCATTCCGGACGTGCAGGCTCCCCAGGCAACGCGCAGCGTGTTCCCAGGTGAACCGTGCGCGTGCACCAGAGCTTCTGCTTCTCGAAGGGTAACGGGTCCAAAATGAGGCAACCATTAAGGTTTCCTCTTATCTCCCAGTCCTGGCCAGGGAGATGTGGCTCACCACACAGGGAAAGGACTCAGCACACCCAGGACCCACATAAAAAGAGAGAGCCCGCGAAAGGTCCTGCACAGGCTGCAGGCGACACTGCCAGCACCACAGGGAGCGCCAGGGCTGCGATGCCACGAAGCAGCCAAAGGGCGCCGGGGCGAGCAGGAGCGGGGCGCTCGCAGCCAGGGCAGCGGGGACCTACCCACCAGCCGAGCCCTGCAGGTGCCACACGGGAGCCCTGGGGCTCGGCCAGACCCTCCTGCTTTCATGCACGAGCCCACCCGCCTCCTCCTGCCCCCTCACGCGGCCTCTGCAGCGGCCCTGCCACAGGCATGGTGTGAGGGCAGCCAGAGCACAAGGACGGGCAGGCAGATGGGCACAGTTACCCTTCCAGCTCAGTCAAGGGCCTTGGGAAAAGATAACCTGAGACCTTGGTGTTTCGGAGCGCTCAAGAGCTGGGTGGACAAGTTATTAGGAAAGCTCTTGTGTGGCCGGGCAGACCTGTGGGTGGCAGGCGGGCGCTGTGGCCAGGTTGGGTTTGGGAAGCGGGGAGCGCAGCAGCAGCAGGATGCCCAGGAGGATGCTGGTGCCGGTACCTGCACTCAGCAGTGCAGGGCTCGGGATCCGCACGTCGGCAGAGGCAGGAGGGGGCCGGGGGGGCTCAGGGACGCGGGCGCAGGTGGGGCTCAGGGACGCGGGCGCTTGGCTCTAGTTCCCGATTGTGGCCCCGGACCCCTCAGCAGAGCAAGGCAGTGTCCCCCCAGCCCTGCCACACACACACACAGCTCCGCGCGGGGCAGCTGAGCCGGGAGGGACGTGGGGAGCAGCCCAGCTCCCTGCGCTGCCTCCTCACGGGAGGGACCTGGTCTCCACCCAGACTCTGTTTACCCGGAGATGCTCCCCAGTCTGTCTCCACTGCTGGATCACCCACATTGTTTGAATACCAACTCGCCCCTCGAGCCAAAGAGAGGAGCCTTGTAGTCAGGTTCCCTTTAATCTGCATGGGAGCAGCAGGGACTGATCCGCCCCACTCTGAGCATCCTCCGGCTGGGGCACTTTTCAAGGGACGCGACACCCCAAGGGACGCGACTTAACTCTCCCCAAGGCTGAATGTCACTCTCACCTCCCAGGCTGCTGCCCTAACCACAGAGTTATTTGGGGCTGGAGACAAGCGCAGTGCGCGTGTGTGCACGTATCTGCACAGGAAAACACTGGCTGCCTCCAGGGCCAGGATGTCCCTGGGCGCATAGTGACAAGGCCCCGGGCTGGGAGAGACAGCCGGGGGGAGAGGGACTCCGCCACATGCAGAGCTTCAAACACCCGCGCCGAGGCAGGCGCAGGGCAGTTCACACGCACCCATGGAGCCAAAGAGGCGCCAGCAAGGCTCACTGACAGCTGATTCCTGTAATTAAGGCCAGAATGTGACAGGTATTTAAACTAGTGTCTGCCACCAAGAAACTCCCCTCCTGCCCTTCCCCACATTCCCCAGCAGCTCATTCACCAAGCAGACACGAGTGCTGCACAGCTAGCCCGAAACCCGCACCAGGCAATGGACCCCGACTGGGCCTTCCTGCGGCTGGGCCAGTGCAGCAGGCCAGGCCCCGGCCCCGACCCCGCGCTGCTGGGAGCCATTGTGGCCGGTTGGATGCACAGACACAAGCCGAGCGGCCGGGCAGGGCGCGGAGGAGCAGCAACCACCTCTTGCAGCATCATCCCCCCACACCAAGGCACATCAAGCCCTGGCCAGAGGATGCTGGTGAAGCGCAGGTGGCACCTAAGCACGTTTGAGCTCTTGGTGTGTGCTCTGCGAGGCCATCACTGCCCACACACCAGCCCCACAGCAGCATGGCCCACTCCCAGCTGCCCACAATGGGGCTGCCAAGGGGCATCCAACTGAGCCCCCATGGAGGTGCTCGCCTGGGGACTGCAGCGCCCGGAGCACTCTCTGCTCCTCCAGGTCACCCCAGCTCCGCGGGCGCTGTTGGCTCAGGGCAGGCCTTGGTCCATGGCACAATGGCCGCTCAGAGCACCGGCCTGCACAGCCCCAGCAAGGGCAGTACCTCAAGAGCATCCACGGGCCTTGCCCAGACCCCTGCAGACAGACACACCGTGCAAAGCAACGGGCGTTTCCCAGGCCCTGAACTGCAACATGCAGCCAAGGAGATGCCACCTCTCACTAGATGTGGAGCAAGGGCACAACTCGCCCTGATGAGACCTTACCAACCTGTCCCAGCAGCCAGCATGAGGCAATGGCCTGGCTGTTCAGCCGGGAGCTCCTCTCCACCAAAACAGGCTGCCCACCCCACCTCAGGCCTTCTCCGCTTAGCACTTGCACCAGCACCTATCTGGGCTGTGGGTGCCCTGCTCTGAATTCAAGGAGTTTGTTCGTAGGAATGGGGGGACCAGAGCTCCAGGCCCGACGTGCCACATGCTGATGCAAAGCATCCGAGTGGCTGCAGAGAGGGCAGAGGTCCTGTTCAGCACGCTGGCCATCAGCCCCAAACCTCTCGCCACAAGTTGCAGAGTTGCTCTCTGCGGGTGAGAGGCACTTCACCGGGAAAGGGAGAAATGCCCCAGCCCCACACAGCCCCATGGCCAGGCAGGGAGACCCTCCTGGGGGACAGCTGAGTCTGCTAGGAGGAGGCAGTGAAGCCTGAGCCACGTTTGGTGAGCGTGGCGTGAGGTACCGCCACCGACCTTGCGCCAGGGAGAAGGACAACTGCACGGAGAGAGCTCTGGGCAGGGATCTCAGTGCAAACAGACCTACAGCGGGTGTTTTCCCAGGATACGGATGGCATTTCCACCATTCCCTTTTCCCTGCAATATTCCCTGCTAGCCCAACAAGAGGCAGCTCGGCCATGTGCCTAGTGCCCGTTCCTGGGCACATGCAGAGGCTGAGTCACAAACTCACAGCTCCGGATTTCACGATGTCATGGATGACATCCCAAACTCACGGCGGAGCTTTCAGAGAAACTGGAAAGCAGCTGAGATCCCCGGCTTCACCTCTACGGGATGAGTCACGGTCACGAACTCTCCCACTCTCCGTTTCGAGCTGCCGTGACTGATCCGGCCGCTCCCTCCCGGCGGACACCAACCACGAAACAGCTCAACCAGCGGATTATTTACCCACATACTCACACACTTGTGAGAAACTGAATGTTCCCAAAAAGTCCTTTTCCCAACATAAAACTCTCTGACCGTCTCAAATGTGCACGGTAAGGTTATTTCCAGGTGTCTAAAGCCAAAGCGGTTTTATCAGCCGAGCTGAGAGCGCCGACACTCAGGAAACCTTTCCTCTGCAATCAGGAGTGTTTGTGCACGCAGCAAGGGTTACTTGGAGACCTGGAGCTTCAGCCTAAACGCACGGGGGGGAGGCGGGGGAATAAAAAGATTATCAACTTACTGAGCTCAAAGAGGCTCAGAATTGGCAAAACACATTCAGGTGCTACTGAGCCCTCAGAGAACGGGACGTGCGAGCCGACAGCCACGTCCATGGTAGGAGAACAGCTCCACAGGGGCAACACTCTGTCACGGGGCTGTGCTAGGGACAGCAAGGACAGCAGAGCTGGGGACACCCCATGGCCACGTCCTCGCCAAGGTTTCGGCATCACTGGCCCCCGGCGGGTGACCCTCGATGAGGCGGGAGCCGGTGCACCCGCTCGTCTGATGGGACGGCGGCCCCTGTCCCCACGGGGCCACAGCCGGCCGGGGGGGCCGGGCAGGGC